AAATACTCTTTTAGACTATACAAAGACTACTTTCCAGATGCTCCTACCAACAAGCCAACTATATTTCAGTGCAGGTTTGTCATTGATCCATCTATTTCTGTTCTCCTTTTTTTTGTTAATACTCTTGGCTAGACCTCGTTCTTATTTTTCGCATAGGTTTAGAATGACTTCTCTATTTTTTTTTGGCACAGTGCACATTGTATAAAATCATGACAACTATTTTGTACAGAAAAGAGATAGAGCTGGACATCTTGGGCTATATTCTACGGAGAAGATTACCATAGCATTATGGAATGCTAATGTATGACGTAGCAAATAATGCTATAGATAATTATGTTTGGATTGAAGAAAGTGTTGCTATAAAGTCTTAAGATTTGTGAAAAACTATTGTTGAAGTCTCTAGGGATGAGTATTTGAGATCTTCAAAGGAGAATTTTACTGCTGGATGACTAGCAATAGGAAAAAAAAAGGTGTTTTCCCAGAATGCTAAGTAGCATAAATTGCATGCATTCGAAGTGTAAAGTTGTCCAGCAGCATGGCAAAATTTCTCTTTACTCTCCAGTTGCAAAACATCATTTTTCATTTCAACATCTCAAATACTCACCTCCAAAGACTTCTGCAATAGCTTTCTCAAACATTTTAAGGCACTCTATAACAGTACTTACTCAAATCCGAAATCATCCGCAGCATCGGGTGCTACTCCAGTAGTTCGTATTTTAAATGTTGGGGTAATCTTCTGTAAAAAAAGATAGCCCAAGATGTCCAGAGCCATCAGTTCTCTACACGAAGGTGTCATCATTGCCTTCTACAGCATACACTATGTCAAAAGTTAGAGAACAAGTCATTCTAAACCTGGACGAAAAATAAACATGAGCCATAGACAAGAAATTAAACAAAAAAAAGCAAACACAAACATATCGACTACCAACAAACCTGTTGCTATGAATCACTTAGCGTATACTAATGGATCTTGGCATAGTGTGTGTTCAAACGATAATATTGATTGTGTGCTTGGTTTGATGTAAGAATAAGTTCATTGCCATCATCAGACAACGAAGAATCCAAGAGACATTGCATGAGTAAGCTACGACCACTAGTTGTGATGTGGTAGAGGAACAACCATAAAAAGGCAAATAGCTTTGCATGTATAGCCTAATATAACCATTACAAATGCATCCGTCCAAAAATAGCCGTTACAAATATAGCCATTGAAATTACAGCGGTTACGCATATGGCCATTAAAAGAATATTGCTATTTATATCATGTCGATAAATTATAATTCCTCCGGCAGAGGCGGAGCCAGCATGTAGGTGTTGGGTTCAACTGAACCCAACGATTTTCTCACGCACGTATATGTAGACACGTAGTCACTTTGATGAACCCAGTACGAATGCACGGTTGAACCCATCGAAGCTAGAACGCACGAGCGAGAAGCCTCTTGGCCCATTAATGTTTCCTTACTTGAATAGCCCAACCAAAGTTCAATATTTCTCAAAAACAAAAGAAGCCCGTGAGTAAATGTGATCCATCAATGCCACCCACGAAGCAGGCTGGATCGCCGATAGATCGATTCCATGTCATGTACGCAACATACTTATCTAAAAAAATTACACAACACACCGCACACAGCCCGACTCGACAACTTCCTAGGTTTCTCTTGTTAGCCCATGGCGACCCCGGTCACCAACTCCTAGCGGCAAGCCAAGAAGCCGTCGACAGCGGCCGGCAATTGAAGTACACCAGATTGAAGGTAATGAGATCGATCACATCATTCCGCTTGTGCATGCCTTGTAACCTAGTAAGTGCAAAAAATTAACCTTTGCCCTAATTTTCTAACTGCTTTTCCTTTAAACTTTGATTGATCTAGGATTCCAGGCTATGGAATGATATTTGTCAAATAGAAATTGATCATCGGATTCATACAATGATGTAGGCACTTTAAGCCCACATACCAGATGTAGGTGCGTCAAATATTGTTCATGGCTTGCTGCAAATAATCTTCCAAAGCCTTCTATTCAGAGAAATTAATTTATATGATCTCCCAGAGCCTTTTATGCAGAGAGTAATTAAATTTTAGGATGATGAAATATCGAAGGGGGCCACTATGAAATCTTTGTGAATTTACATATTTCTTTCGCTAGATGGCAGTTTACTTTAAACTTGTCAAACTAATGTGTTTGTTCAATCTTTTCCGGAGAATGAAAAGTTGACCCTGAAGCTACGAGGTTATTTTGGTTAGACAAGCGGTTTTATACAACTGGTACGTCTTGCACTTTTAAGCTTTTTAGTGTAATTACCATGTGTGATAATTGGTGTCATATTTCTATTTGTTAGGATATCTTAAGTATTGTATTCTTGTTGTTCGATGGTGTGGAAATGTACTTTACACTTAATTAACTCGTACCCAAACCGCACAATGAACTAACGAGTGAACCCATTGGCCAAATTTTCTGGCTCCGCCCGTCCTCCCGTTCAAGGAAAGGTGACATTTTGGACAGTGACATGACTATCAAAATATAATTCTGAGCACTATTTTCTACTTGAAAAAAGTCCATTTGACTACCCTGAATAAAGTGGGTGGTTCACTTTACCCCCTGATCTATTTTTCGGCTTCTTTTACCCCCCAAACAAACTCAAACCGGACAAAACACCCCTCTGGCTTGTTTTTCTCCACCCGCTGCTGATGCGGCACTAGTCAACGGCGGTTTTGACCTGGGTGGGGCCCCCTTGTCAGGTTTCCCTCCCTCTCTCTCTCTCTCTCTCCGGGTACACCCGCCGGCGAGCCTCCTCCTCGGCTCCCGCCCCTTCTTCTTCCCCGCACTGCTGCTACCGCTGTGGGAGCACTTCTCCAGGCTGCAGCAGCCCGCTCCCCGTCCTCCTTCACGTCCTCCTCCTCCTCCTCGTCATGCTGCTACTATGTACCATGACCACGACGACTCTCTCTCCTTGCTCTAGATGCCATGGCCGGCGCTCCGTTCTGCAGATCGGCGCTGCTGAGAACCACCGTGGCCACCTGAGACTACCGTCACCGTCGGCCTCCAGCGCCCTCGACTTGGATCCCGCCGCCCTGCCACAGACCCGCGTCCGTCGTCGCCGTTCGTCACCCAGCACCCGTCCCGGTCGGGCGCCGGCTTCGGATCGGCGAGGACCATGCTGTTGGAACCGGTCTTTCAGGTAGTAGTGCATGCACTAACGTGCGTGCTGTTGCTGCGCCAACAGCCCACGATCTGCATGCTAGCTTCTAGGAGTGGTTAGCCTGTGCATAGCTGTGTTAATTAGTCGCGTGCGTGTGTTATCTGTGTATAAGTGTACACCCAGAGGATAATACAATTGTGAGTTCTTCCTCACTTTTCTTTCCTTCACATGCAGTCGCCGCCGTGCAAGCTCCTCTGCCTCGCCGCCAGCGCCGAGGCCGACGGTGGCATCGCTGGTGGGGTTGCTGGATGGCGGGGAGGTGTTGTAGGAGGCCCGGAGGTGGCCGGCGGCGAGCTCCTTGTTGGAGCAGAAGCGATGAGGCGACCGACAACGGAGCAGCGCTAGGAGTGAGAGGTCGCCGGCGTGGAGGGCTTCAGCGGCGACACAACGACGCGGTGGTGCTTAGACGCAGCCGTGCATAGAGGAGGTCGGGGGCTCGGGGCTGTTGTGACCTGGAGAGAGAGAGAGAGAAACCTGACAAGGGGGCCCACCCGGGTCAAAACCACCATTGACTAGTGCCACATCAGCAGCGGGTGGAGAAAAACCAGCCAGGGGGTGTTTTGTCCGGTTTGGGTTTGTTTGGGGGGTAAAAGAAGCCGAAATAAAGATCAGGGGGTAAAGTGAACCACCCACTTTATTCAGGGTAGTAAAATGGACTTTTTTCTTTCTACTTTAGCATATGTATAACACCCAATAAAATTATAGTATCTTAAAAATAGTCTTCGACACAAATCTGTACATCTGATTCTCAAGTTTCCAACCTAAATACTGAAACAATATCAGCGATCAAATAGGTATGTCCAAAACATCACTTTTTTGTAAACTGGAGTGAGAAAGAGTGTGGAATACAAAGGACGGAAAATGGAGGGTATGTCAGAGCGTGAACTATGAAGAGGATTTTTTTTTCCGGAGAGGCTCACCATACGGAGATATGGAGATTGGTATATAGACGTTTGGTTGGAGATGCTCTGAGGAGTAGGTGTAGGAAACATGCCATGCATTTTTTTATGTTCAATGACTGAAAAATGTTGGACTCTTTTTCATGCATACCTGGCCATAATCGTCTGGAGTCTAGAGTGGTGGGGTCTATCTTTGAGTGTAACAATTACACCCGAATTGACTTCCAGGTCTATGACCTAGCAACACATTTGAATCTATCTACCATGTACCGCAACTCCTCTTACATGTTTTTGTTGACAATGATACCACTATTTAGTGGATGTTCTATTTTGTGAATACAGCTTTCGTTGTTAAAGTGGGAGCGCATTATCATAATATGACTGTAATCATATTTATTTGGTGACTAGCAAGATGCCCATGCATTGCATGGAACATCAAGATGCATTTGTATGAGTAGTTTATCTTGTGGGAGAAAAGGATGAACGAGGGAATGCCTTATTTGCAAATGTGGAGAGGGGTGTGGGTATCTTTTTGCAAAATTGCCATAGCTTCCTTCCAATCCGTCAGATATAGATTGGACGGCCTATATTGCAGGATGGCAGGCACGCCATCATCACCGACTATGCTTTTTATTAGAGTAGAGAAAAGAAACAGGGATTTGATTTGTACATTCACATCTAAAGACAAATTCTCCCCAGGGTAAAAGATGTTACTGATATGTACCGAAACCTAAACTAAAGCCCTGCAAGACCTACACATAGGGCAAACTATCTCCATACTGACCCCAAAAAGTTTGACTACTTAAGGCTACACAAAGCGAAAGTAAAGTAATTCTCACACAAACAAAAGAAAGTAAAGTATATTGCAAAGATATATCCATGAGCTAGGCATAATATTGGACTACCTGCGTCTTGCACCTCCTCCCTTGGGGTCAATGGAATTCCCCTGGTCTTTGCCATTCCCTTAGCCTACAAAGAAACACACCAGGATTCAAGAGGAACGGAAAACCATATTCTGAAGCATGCGCAAAATCCAGCAGAAAGAGATGATTCCGCGACTTACCAAGGCTCGAAACATGCACCGGCCATCGCCGGTGACTCTCTGGACCCCGTAGTGCTCCACCTTGTTCAACGCCGCCGACCACCCGCCCCTCCTGGACCGGGAACCAGTTCTTGTAACTCAACTCCGCTGGCACTTTAATCGAGTGGGGTAAAAAACTAAAAATGGAGACGGAGAAGGAGCGCACGTACAGCGAGGAGCCAATCCTGGCGAAGCAGTGGAGGCGGGGCCAAACCGGCAGCGCGGGAGCAAGCACGGGGTCCTCGAGGAGCTCGAACCTGGCCGTGCCCTCCCCGAGCCGCGCAAGAAGCGTGGCTGCGATAACAACGGCCACCGAATCAGATATGCGCGTGGGGACTGGGTACTGGGGAGTAGAGTGTGCACCACCTACCATTGGATGGCCGCACTGGAGGCGCCATTGGCTGCAATCTGGAAGACCGGAAGCGGCACCGGAGCGGAGGAGAGCCGAATGTAGGAGAAAGGGATAAGGAAGCCGGCTTACGGCCCAGCCCAGCCTCCAACAGGAAGGATGTGGCCGGCCGGGGCAAGAAGCCAGCTGACGGCCCAGCCCAGCCTCCAACATGGGCTTTGGGCTTTTAGCTTGGACATAGAACTGTTCAAGCCCTTCTAAAAAAAAAGGCTGGTCAACGTCACATCCCCTCGCGTGAACATTTTTCCCGCTCGCTAGGGTTTTCCTCCTCTCGGCAGCGACTTTCGCCGCTCGTTGAAATCTCTTCTCCCCTACCTCAATATGTCGTGACCCCTCCGCCGCGGATCGTCAGGGTGATCGTGCATCGCTGCCAGGTCCTGGGACGGGTTCTTTTGGCGATTGGTGGATTAGGGTTAGTTCACAGACCGTTGGAGAGTTTCATTGGGCGAGGGAACAAGAGTATGGCAACCGAGACTTCTGGTTCTGGTGATCCGGAGGACTTGGAGGCATTGATGAAAGAACTAGGGCTCTCGGAGGAGGACCTTGATGATGTGGAGGTGGATCAGCAATCTCTGCCACCGGAGGCTACGCGTTGGATGGGAATCGCAAGGGTTAACATTGAGAGACCTTACAGTCAGTACTGGTTCTACAAGAACATGCACGCCGCATGGGATCTCGCACAGAAGGTCAACATCCGCCCTCTGGAGGACAATCTGTATACTCTATAGTTCTCGTGCTTGGGGGACTGGGAGCGTGTAATGGAGGAGGGGCCCTGGGCTTTTCGCGGTGATGCGGCAATTCTTGCACCGTATGATGGATTCACTAAGCCATCGACGATCAAGCTGGACTTGCTAGAAATTTGGGCGTAGATTCACGATTTCCCACATGGATATGCATCGCAGATTCCGTCCCTTGCAGCTAAGATTGGGGAGCTAGTCTATGCTGAACCGGCATCGCACGACTTCGAAGGCAACTTTTATAGGGTCCGGGTGAAGATAGATGTTAACAAGCCATTGAAGAACGATGTCTCTCTTAAGGTGGGAGAAAGAATGATGATTTTTTGCATCAGATACGGACGCCTCCCGAACTGGTGTGCCGTCTGCGGGTGGCTGGGTCATATGTATAAGGAACACGGTGATGGGGTTCATCCTCCGTCAGCTCTGGTTTTCAAGAACCTGAAGGCGGATTGGTTCAGAGGTGCAGGCCCAGGCCTAGGCGCATCTAGAAACAAAAATAAAGATGTGTCGTCTGGCAATAGAAGGCAGCAGGATCGTTCAAGGGAGGACATGGACGAACAAATGATGGATGCTGGAAACAACAGGAAGCGCCCCCAAACCTATGATCCAGTGAATGTAGCATTGACTGTAGGGACGACCAAATCAGTGGGCTCTAATGATGGTGCGCTGCTGGCTCTTCCACTGTCGCCTATCCCGCAAAGCCCACCACCAAAGCAAGATCCAAAACGTCCAAAAAGAGGGACTAGTGGGGAGAAGAGCAGTTAGGACAAGAATGTTATCAAGAAGGCGGGAAAGACAATTGAAGCAACATCGGCGGGCTCCCAGGGGGAGTACTGCCGGGCGCAATGAGTATCCTAAGTTGGAACTGTCGTGGTGTGGGCAAAGCTGTGACGGTTCGGGAGCTTCGCAATTTAGCGAGGAAGTTTGCCCCTACCCTACTGTGTATTGTTGAAACACAGTTGGATAGAGTGAGGGTAGAGAATTTAGCTAGTACTCTTGGTTTTGATAATGCTTTTGCTGTTAGTAGTCAGGACCGCAGCGGTGGCCTGGGGATTTTTTGGAATAATCCAATAAAGGTTGAGATTTTAGGGTATTCTATGTATCATATTGATTACTCTATAGCTGACCCTGGTTTTGCTCCATGGAGGGCCTCATGTTTCTATGGCAAAGTACGCACCCATTTAAGAAACCCGACGTGGGACACAATGAAGGGGATAGCAAGTTTGAGCAATCTTCCTTGGGTTTGCATCGGCGATTTCAACGAAGTCCTACGTCTGGATGAACAAGAAGGGATTGGAGAGAGAAGCAATGCTCAGATCCAAGGCTTTCGGGACGCGGTTGATATTTGCATGTTGATGGACTTGGGGTATGAAGGCAATTTCTGGACTTTTGAGAAAAAAGTTACAGGGGGCAGTTACACCAGAGTAAGATTGGTCCGGGCTCTCGCATCTGCGGAGTGGAACAACCTGTTCCTGGAGGCACACCTGAAGCATCTGATAGCTGCCACTTCGGACCATTGCCCGATCCTTTTGAAGCTCCATGATGAACAAGTTTGCCCTCCAGCGAAACCACCCTTTCGATATGAGGTAATGTGGGAGTCTCACGAAACTTGGCGGGACACGATCTCGCAGACTTGGAGTCAGAACCAGCTGGCAGGGACGATGGAAGGCCTCCGGGACAAATTGCATGCAATCACTGGTAACTTGGGGAGATGGAACAAGGAGACTTTTGGGTTGGTCCGGAAAGAGATTAAAACGCTCACAACAGAGCTTGAGCGACTCCGGAGTGAACCAACCAGGGTTGCCCGACACATGCGGAAACTAAGATCAATGAGAAATTAGTTGAATGGTATCACCGGGAGGAGTTAATGTGGAGGCAGTGCTCAAGAATTGAGTGGTTATCAGCAGGTGACAAGAACACGCGATTCTTCCACCTCAGAGCGAGCATGAGGAGGAAAAAGAATATGATTAAAGCCTTGGCAAATTCATTGGGAGCTATGGTAGATAATCCAATGAAACTGAAAGTTTTGGTAGCAGACTTTTACAAGAACTTGTACACTTCAGAAGGGGTCAGCGACATTGATCGGGTCCTCCAGCATGTGCCGACCAAGGTAACCCAAAGAATGAATGAATCTCTTCTAGCGCCATACACCAAGGAAGAAGTCAAGGCGACACTTTTTAGATGTTCCCTACCAAGTCCCCGGGTCCAGATGGGTTCCCTGCACATTTCTCAGAGGCACTGGGACTTATGTGGCGACGAGGTCACCAATGGTGTTCTTAGGATTGTCCGAGGAGACGAAAGTGTAGAAAGTGTGAATGACACGGTCCTCGTTTTAATCCCAAAGGTGATGAACCCAACCCTCCTAACCCAGTTCCGCCCTATTAGTTTATGTAATGTGATATACAAAATTGCATCAAAGGTGGTTGCAAACATGTTGAAAGGCATTCTCCCGGACATCATATCAGAGGAGCAGTCAGCGTTTATTCCCGGTAGATTGATAATGGATAATATCATATGTGCCTATGAGTGCCTACACTTTATGAAGCGAAGCAGGGCAAAATCAAACAACTTTTGTTCTCTTAAGCTAGATATGATGAAGGCATACGACAGGCTTGAATGGCCTTATCTTCAGGCTATCATGATCAAACTTGGCTTCAACCAGCAATGGGTAAACATTTTTATGAGCATGATTAGCTCGGTTTCTTTCTCAGTACAGTTCAATGGTGAGAAGTTAGAGAGTTTCATACCATCGCGGGGTATTCGACAGGGAGATCCGATCTCCCCTTACCTCTTCTTGATTGCAGTAGAGGGCCTTTCGTGCCTCTTAAAAACCAGTTCTCAGTCGTTAGCACTCGATGGGATCAAGGTGGCGCCCACAGCCCCGGTAGTGAACCATCTCCTGTTCGCGGATGATAGCCTGTTGCTTTTCAAGTCAAGTGTGGAGGGGGCGGTGGAAGTATCAAACCTGTTGGAAACCTACTCAATGCTTCAGGACAGCGAGTAAACCACTAAAATTCTTCCGTATTTTTCAGCAAGGGCTGCCCACAAGCGTTGAGAGACAACACAAAAAACACCCTCAATGTCCAGAATGAGTCTTTGAATGAAAGGTACCTAGGGATTCCAACAGATGTGGGACAATCAAAGATGTGCACCTTCAGGTATCTCAGAGACAGGGTGTGGGAAAAGGTGAAAGGATGGATGGAGAAGCTATTCACTACAAAAAAATACACTTCTGTGATGATACGTGTTTGTCATAGTAGGTCGCGTTTTCTGTCATGCATGTACATCCATGACGATTTTACGACAGAATCAAGATAGTCATACCTGTGTTGTCGTAGAAGTGTTCCATGACATTACCAAAATTATCATCACGGAAGTGTCCACTTCCATGACAATAAATCATGCGTCACAGAAGTGCTTTCGTCAAGGGTGACCGACACATGGCATCCACCGTAACGGAACATCGTTAAGCTATCGGGTCCGGTTTTGGATCCGATAATCCATTAACAGCCCCGACCAATGGGGATTTTCCACGTGTAAAATCATCATTGGCTGGAGGAAACACGTGTCGGATCACCGTTGGGACAGATGTCATCCACTCATTGGAACGAAGGTGCCTACGATACGTCGACACGTGGCGCGGCCCAACAGAGGCCCATTCCTATGAAAAGACCGGCCCGTTTGACTTGGTCAAAAGGTGGCGGGCCGGCCCATAGAAAGCCTGTTAATGACATGTTCACATATAGCCCATTTACAGCCCGCTAACACAGGGCCCGTTACGGCCTATCCGAATTAGGCCCAGTAGCGTCATCTGGGCCATCCAATATGATTGCAGCACGTTTTAACTTCCGGCCCATGTATGGCCCATGACATCTTTCGGCCCATATGAGGCCCTTTGTAACTCTTGGCCCATTAATGGCCCGTGGTGAAACTGGCCCATAATGAATAGTGTACCACTTTATACCCATTAACGGCCCATTATTCCATTGGGCCGTTTCTAGCCCATGTTATCTTTCGGCCTTCTCAGGGCCTATTTATTCTTGGGCTCATTTCCAGCATTTGGTTACTTACGGCCCGTTACTTCATTTTCTGCTTGTGGGCCAAATTCAGCCCGTTGTTACAGTCAGCCCGTTTGTGGTCCGTTAATACGTTGGGCCGTTTTCATAGCATCATCAAATACGACCTATTAACGACGGCCCGTTATGGTCGGCCCATGAACGGATGATTCCAACTCTAGCCCGTTTACGGCTAT